GGCTCTCGGCCTCTTGGATCTGGGCCTCCCGGGTGGGGGTCGGAGCAGCTGGGGCCGGAGGGTCGCGCCGCATCGCCGATGCACCGCCGATGCGGCTCGATGTGGAGCCCGATTTGTTTCACGTCGACGTCGCCGATGCATCGCCCACGTCGGCGATGCATCGCCGGTGCATCGCCGGTGCTCCGATGCATCGGCGATGTATCGGCGATGCGGCGCGATCCTCCGACCCTGTCTACTCTGACCCCATCTGGGAGGCCTCTATTGGAGGCGTCCTGTGGAGGCTCCGTGGCCATTTGGGCACGTGTTGGAGCGGTCTTGGAGCCTCGTGGAACAGTGTGCAAGCCATCTAGGGCCATTTTAGTGTACCTTGTGCCATCTTGTAGGCCATCTTGGGTGAACTGAGGCCACCTTGGAGCCGTCTTGGGCCGTCTTGGACGCTCCAGCGACCCGCGGACCCCCCTTCCCGACCGAAGGGGAGGGGGTAAAGGGGGAGGGGCTCACTCCCACCCGCCCTCCCACCACATAAGCCTACATAAGTATCACTCGAGCCTCAGCATCGGCAGATGCCGCCATCGACCGGCATCAGGACCCAATGCTGCACGCGTCAGCCAGGTTCGCGGCGCCCGCGAGGTGAGCCGCGCGTGGCAGGGCACCCCCCCCATCATCAATGACAAACAACAGTGCAAGATGATCGTATGGGGGCCCTTGCATCATGACCGTTGCCGACAAGTGTATCTCGGCCACGCGCAGAGGGGGGTCGTGGGAGGGGGGAAGGCTTCTGAGAAGCACTCCTGCTTCTTAGAAGGCGCGGGCCTTGCCTGTAGATGTAAGGCTCGCGCCTTCTAAGAAGCAGCCTCCTGAGAAGCCTTGCCCCTCCCCCTAGCCCCCCTGCGCGTTGCCAAGTACCCAGTATCGTCTTTTGGCAGGAATGATTGGCTTGTGCGCAGGATGCAAGGTTTCAGCACCCCCCTCGTCCCTGTCAAAGAGCGCATCAACGTGACCGCTTGGTGCCCGCACGTGATCCAGATTTTGCCACAGCTTGCATGCTTTGGTGCCTTTGACAGCGATGGCGGAGGGGGGGGTCGGCATTTGCCTGGGGTCTGTGGTTGGTCGGATGGTGGAGGGCTTCTGATTTCTCGGCCACACGTAACAGTGACCTTTAGCCAGAGTGACCTTTGGTGCGGGCCCCCCGATCGCTGAATGCGATCTGGTGTTAGCGGCTTATGCGCCTGGTAGTGTCCCAGAGGGCCCCCGCTTAGGCCGCACACTGCAGGTTACTCTTGGCCAGGGTCCTTCTTGTGTGTAGCCGAATTTCATACGGACCAGTGGTAAACTCCTCCCCGAATTCCTCTTCCTCCTCCTCTTCCTCCTCCTCCTCCTCCCTCCTCCTCCTCCTCCTCCTCCTCCTCCTCCTCCTTCTCCTCCTCCTCCTCCTAGGGGGGTTGGGTGGCGAAACGCTCCGAGCCACCTACGCCCCGAGGGGCGGGTGGAGTCGTTGCCTCCCGCCGCCGCCCCCTCTTTTAGCGGTGCCTGCTGGGCCAGATCTTGGGCAGCATCTGCGCCCCATACAGTCAGCCCGCACAGTGAGGACGGGCGACTTTGCAATGCTACCCTTGCATCCTTGTCCCTCGGCCCATCCTTGGTAGCTTTCGCTGGTCAGCATCGTTCGAGAACACGTTACCATGGCGGCCCTCCAAGGCTCCTGCATCCCCACCGTGCGTCCTTCTTGTACGGGTTGACTGCACTGCTTCAGTTCGGCGACGTGTCTCCTGATTGCCACCCTAGTTCGAAGACGTAAAGCGGTATGAACGTACTTTGAGGCTGCTCGGCGGCGGCTCTTTGCAGTGCAGTGGGTTCCCGCATGTTGTTCGGATTCCCAGCCGTCCAAGTCCGGCCAAGACAGGCCTTTTTGTTCGTTAAGGAACGAACGCAGCAACAAGACACTACAAGACAAACGCAATCAGTCCTGGAGCACACCGCAGACTTCTTGGATCTGCGCGTGACCCCCATGGCGGCGCTTCCAGTGCCGCCCCTGCTCCGCGTGCCAGGGAGGGGGGTCCAGCGCTGATCGAAGAAATCCGCGCGGACCTCTGAGAAATTATGAGTATGTCGTTTTTGGTTTCCTTCATAAGGTCGGGGGAGGCAAGGAAGACTGAGCGGAAGATTTCGCGGGCACCCTACAGTCCAGTGGTCCTTGCTTGCCTGCTTTCCACGGTTCTGCTCAAGGACCAGGCCAGTGAGCCGAGGCGACATAGGATTTGCCCGCAAGCCAGGCCAAGTCTCTGGCCTCTCTATTCCCCCATCCGTCGCGGAAGCACCTGAGGCCCTTCTGGTTGCCTCTGGCGCCCGCTGGGGCCATCCTGGGGGGTCCTTGGGGGGCTGTCTTCGCGGCCTCTGGGGCCACATGGGCGGCTTCTTGGGACTTCTTGCTCAGCTGCGTGCGGCAAGTCCCTCCACCATGTCTGCCCAGCGCCTTGGGCGGCGACTGCTCGGTGAGCAC